TTTATCAATCTTTCAGAGCCAGGCCCGATTGCCAAGAGTTCAATCGTTTTGGACATTAAACCCTGGGACGATGAAACAGATCTTGGTGAAATGGAGAAGCTAGTCCGTGGCATTGAGACTGATGGTCTAGTGTGGGGAGCTTGTGAGTAGAGGACATGGCTTTACTTATTGCCTGAATACATAGTGCTGAGTCTGCTTGCTAGGTTAACAAAAGTCTGGGTCGGTCAAGTTAAAGCACATTATACCAGAGCTGCCAATATACAGAAAGAGTTTTCTGTTAATTTTTAAATTAATTGATTTATTTGCAGTGGATATATTACTACCAGGAGTGGATTTGTCCATCATAAAAAAACAAACAGCAATAAGGGTCATTTTCAAAGGTTTCAAGTTTAAAAAAAACTATTAAAAATTCATCATACACTACAAATAACTGAATGGTGAATTTCAAATTATTTTCCAGCCAAACAAGTCCCAGTGGGCTATGGTATCAAAAAGCTGCAGATCATGTGTGTTGTAGAAGATGCCAAGGTAAGCCACAGTAGGGTGGGAAGTGGGGAGGGGGGTAGCCCCCTCATCCTAAATCTTACAGTTAGCTAACTTATAAGTCTATGACTGCATTCCCCACAGATTTTAGATCAATCTATCCATGTGGGGAGTCTCACTGGATTACTGTCAGCTTAGCCGGCTTAAATGTCTGTCCCGTCTACTAAAAGGGGGTAAATAACTTCCGTGCGCTCTCGGCTGACAGCAATTTAGCATGAACCCCCAGGGAGTTAGGTTGATCCAGATGGTTCAATCTAAATTTGTGGGAATGCAGTCTAAGGTATATTGGATGCTAATTGAGTATGTGTTAAAGAATGAAGTTTGTGGAAGATTTAACAGGTATTTTTGAATAAATTAACTGTTGAAGTTTATGGAAGTTTTACCATTTTCCGTGTTTTAAGGCTGATTGTACTTATCAACAAGCTTTTATGTAGTATTATTTAATATTATTTTTAATAGTTTCAAGATTTGCTTGTCAACTTTGAGTAGCATCTTTATAGCTGTAAACAAATATTTATTTTGTTTTTAGGTTGGCACAGATTTTCTGGAGGAAAGTATTACAGCATTTGAAGATTTCGTCCAATCTGTAGACGTTGTAGCTTTCAATAAGATCTAAGCATGGTTGTTATTGTGACCTAAACAATATTGCCAATGAACTGTGTGGACCACAACTTTATATATAGACCTTCTGCAATTTTTAAATGAAGAAGATTTTTGTATATTGTCGAGTGACTTACACAAATTAAAATTCTTGTTTTTGGCACAAATTCATGCTACTTGACTCTCAATAAATATTCGTCAGAACTTTTATGTCTATTTTTATGTCTGTTGTCTAGAACCATACATGTTTATAATCAACCAAGGCCATTACTGTTGTGAAAATTTGCTGTGCTATAATCGGTCAAAGAGCCTGGTGGTATAATGAAAAAGACGAAATTAGTTGGTTTTTATTTCTAAACTAATTTATTTAAATAGTGGAGACTAATCAAAAACGCCACAAAATTTTGATTGAACTTGCCAATATAAAAGCTTTCAGAAGAATTTGTACTTATCACCTAATATATTATTGATCGTATAATTGAAAACTTTAACAAGGACAATATTGTGTCCCCTGCAGTGATGCTGGTCAGAGATGGATAATGTAACTACTAGATTATGTGAACGATGCCACCATGCTGTCTTTATATGGAGCATCAGTGGCGGATTTAGAAGGGTGGGGGTCAGGGACGTCCTCACCCTCTCCCCTTAGGTTTCTGAAAAAAATCACACTAACATTTCCTTCTTGAAACTAGAATTTTTACAAGCTGATTAATAGTACTTAACCATTCCAAATGGCACCGTCATTCCTCCAAAACTCTCCAAGGGGGCCGAGGGTCGGCTTCGTATCGCCCCCCCCCCCCCCCCTTCAAATAATCTGGATCCTCCCCTAAGTATGCAGTTTATTTTGACTCATTTTCCAATAAGTCTGGGTAAAACATAATATAAAAAATGATAAATTATAAAAAGGCAGTACTGTAGTAATTTTTTTCATCTGGTTACCTACTATGCAGGTACATAACAAACAAAAAGGTTAACTTTACGTTTGCAATAATTCCAGGCTAGACCAACATTTGATACAAGATAAGAAAAATAGTGGCAACTTTTACAGGGATAAATTTGAACTTTTTACAGGATGAAAAGCAGCTTTTGTTTGAAAGTGACGCAAAATAGGGGTTCTCACAGCAGTGTGCCACCATGAATGTGAATTTCCAAGTCTGTTGCGAAAAAAAGTCCAAGTAATGAGTCAGTCTGATAGCTAGGCCGATACTGTAATTCCTCGTCAATTTCAGACAGCGTGAATCGATTATCCCCCCCCCCCGAAAAAAAGGTTTTGTTATGTAAAATGCTAATGTAAAGGTTTTAATAAGTTCATCTTGATCATGATTTATTTATGTGTAAATAAATAAAATGTTATAATTTGAGAAAATGAAATATTAAAATAAGCAAGCTAGGTGTTTTGAATTTTAAGTCATAACCGCAAGTCACTAATGTTTATTAGTGAATCAGCTGAAGGCTAGTCATCAGAAGCAGGAGAGGCGAGAGAAGACAAACTTCACGAGATACTAAGCACTGTATTGTCAAGATGATGACGTTTTGCTTCATTGCAGCTTTGCTCCTCTTTGCTGGCTTGCCAGGTAGGTTAGAATAAAAGCAAACAATTAAACAAACAAGCAAACACCTTTGGGACAGAAAAATGGATTGAATATGATAAAAAAAGATGTCTTTATAGTTACAGCCTAAGCAAAAAATTACAGAGATAGAAATATAGTACAGAAACATCTGGATACTTTTGTGTTTACCCAGAACTTACGTTTCAAATTATTCATCTGAAGCAATTTATTAGGGATAATCAAAGCTACATTTTTATCTTTTTCAAATATTAAAAATGTTTTTCTTCTTCTACAAAGCACCCACGGCAAGTCTCGGGTGCCTGTCAAACTCTAACTGTGTCAGCTATTGTTCTGGTTGTATATACGGCGGCACCCCAAAATGCGCCCTTAAAACCACCGGCACATGCCAATGCCTTGGGTGCGGACCATAGCCACATGGTCTGGTGAGTTGTTCAATTACCGGCATATATATCGCAGCAGAATTGCTCTTATTAAGTTAAAGTCGTAGATCAAAACAAAATTTTAGTTCTTTTTTTACCTTTGAACATTTTTGCCAAATGTTACCATTTTTGATCTAGATCTTAATCTTTCTGATGCCATTTAACGTAACTGATTAACGAAATTGATGTGAAAAGTAAATTTTTTTAATAAAACAGAGAAACTGCCAAAACCAGTAGCTACTAGTATTGAGTACAATATTTCAAAGATTGGGGGAGTGAAGTAGAAGTGCCAGAGGGGAACGTTGCAGTACGAACTCTCAAATAAAAACAGTAGTAAAGCGCATTGAGGTTTTCAATGAAATATGCCTTATAAGAATAAATTATCATCATTACTACTAATACTACTACTACTATTATTATTATCTATATTTCAGATGTTGAATAATAAGACTTCCAAGCAAAACAGAAGACATGCAGATTTTCATATTTTTATCAACAGCTTGGAAAAAATAAATTAAAAGATTAAAACACATTTAAAATTGATTTTGACTGATTTCCTCTCTGACTGCCTAGGGCAATTATTTTGCCCTGAGTAGAACAAAAACAGTAATTATTCACTAACTTGGTACAAATATTAGTTGTGATAAATAATTAGACAGAAGAATTGTATGCAACAGGTGGTTTATAGGCCTGAAGGGCTGGGTGTTCTTTTAACATGACACGTTAATAAATGATTATGATGATAATTATAATTATAAAACTAACTTTTAGAGGCCTGTGTTTTTTAACTTAAATTGATCTTAATGTTAATCTTTAATATTAATTTTTTTATTTAAACGCTTATTTTTACAACTTCAGTTTTTTTTGGTTGCAATGATTTTAAATAAACTTATTATAAATATATCGCTCCCTTTTTTTTGTGATATGTTTTTATTTATCTCCACGTCCACGATACTGGGTAACAGTTTTGGGGCATCGAGATTTCAACACCTCGCCAATCTTGTGAGCACGCTTTCCGCTTATAAAATGCATCGTATATATATATATATATATATATATATATATATATATATATATATATATATATATATATATATATATATATATATATATATAACATTAAACACATACCAAAATTATTCGGCAAGAGTGCACTTAACTTCACAGAGTTGGGAAAACACGCTGCGATCCTGAATCGGCGGTTAAACAGCGATGATATGAAATCGATCGTCTCTGGTTTGCACACTTTCCGCTTAGAATATACATCGTTTTTTGCTTCATATTAATTAAGTTTGGAAAATGTAACATTAAACACATAAAAAAATTATCAGGAAAGAGTGCACTTAACTTCACTTTGTTAAGGATTTTCTTAATAGCTAATAATAATAATAATAATAATTATAATAATAATAATAATAATAATAATACTGACCTAAACCAAAAGGCATAACGAGTTTTTTATTTATTTTTAAAAACCCTGCTTCAGCGCGAAAGTAGCCTCAAACTGTTAATTGAATTATCTAAGGCAGGGAATTATATACGATATAATTCCCTGTTTAAAGTAAAAATTCTAGACATTTTCTTAGACGTATAGACATATCACACTATCATAGTCTACTGTGGACATCATACTCGCTTCGTGACAAGAAGCACACTTTTACCTTTTGAAAAATAAACTAGATCGATTTCAACGACAGTAACGAAGGTTTTTAGTTCGTTTGTGCTTTTTTTGTGTGTGTGTGAACAGATAACTGTATTTTTTTTTTTTTTTTTTTTTTTTTTAGTTGCGAGACTGATGTTAGTTTTAAAAGTGCCACTTGGACAAAGAATTCTTCCGCTCTCTTACTATGAGTAATATAAAAATGTATTGTATTGAGAATGATTAGTTACACCACCTGAGAGACTTTCCTTTTTAATGAAGTGCAAGTATTGACAAAAATTAAGTAAATCTATGAAAAGAATCCATAAAACAAGTGTTCTGAATGTGCTGGGCAGAATGCGTTAGTTGAGTTTTTCCTTAGAGACTTCCAAAGCGAGGCTATAAACAACCAGTGGACGAACAGACAGAACGACGTACCATTCAACTGAATGAAATAAGATTTGAAACCATGTAGACGTCGTATGTCACGGTGTAATGACCAATATGAGTTAAGAGAGAGAGAAAAGGTTTGTATGTCAGGCATTAAAAATAATAACAGAGCATGTCAGTGTGTCTCAATTATCAATGGAACCAGGAAACAATTTTTAATTGGCATCAACGTCGTTAGTGCTCCATTTCCAACTTGCCACAAGTATCAAGTATACTAGTACTGTGCCAGCCTGTATGATAAGTATATATATATATGTATATATATATATATATATATATATTTCATGTTACTGAGAAAAATTTATCTTCAAATGACTTTGCATGCTAACTTTTTTTCACCAGGTGGTGTTGTGAAGCCTACATGTACAACCAGCATGATTTTATATTTTTGAAAAGCCACATGTGCTGCACATCACATTTTCTGACATTGTTTTCTTCAGCAATGTTAGAACGTACTCGGCTGTCCATTGATTAAAGTCATAACCAACTGTTGCCCAATGGCACGTAACGCGGCATGGCGCCGTACCATCAGCGACTTGGTGAGCTGGAGGCAGGACCAGGCTCTGAACGCAACGATCTACATCCTCCGTGAGATGGGGCCAACTGGGTTTCTTCTTAAAGAGGAGGGGGAGAGCAAGAAATTCAAGGTGGGGCTACTGAATTTTTAAGTTATCAATGTGTGGAAGAAAATCTATTTGTTAAACTATTGGGAAATGCCAATTTCAGTTGACATTTACATGACAAGACTTTACAACAATTATAGAAATAAAAAAAGAACTTCAGAAATAATTTGTTAATGATATTGTCCATTATATTATAACAGGCTTTCCTGGGTGACCCCCACAAATGTACCTGCTCAACTTTTATGAAGGATAAAGACCTGTGTAAACACATCTGCTGGTTATTGCTCAAGAAATTCAGGATACCAAGAACTAACCCAGGTGAGTGCTGTCAACCTATATGTTATACATGTATGTAAGGGATATCTGTACGAGGTTCCACATGTGACAGTTTACATTATAAAGTACATTGTAACTGGTTGACAGTTGCATCTGGAAATTCAGACAGAAGAGCTTTATAGTACAGTACTTAATGGATGCATTTCAACACTGTGTAAATTTGGTTTATTTTATTACTGAACTATAACATATAGTCCTAGGGATAAGATGGTTAAGGGTTTATTTTTGGGAGCATTGAAATATGTGATAGTGTTAAATAGAATGGTGTTTTGGATGTGAAACAATTTACAACATTATATTTGGTTGGGATGGTAGACACTGATACATTTAAATGAGTAAGACATGTTTTTGTTTAATCATTTTTATTTATTTATTTTATTATCAATTAATTAATTAATTTGCTCCTGCAGTCACGTGGCAGATGGGTCTTGTAGAACGAGAGATAAACGAACTCCTACGAGGTTTGATGGCACACCAAGATCCTCGCCGAGGACCCCCTGCGAAGAAGGTTACAGCGACAACAACTGTAGTTGATGGTCGGCCTGTTTTAGAGCAGAGAGAGATCGGCAAGGAGGATGTGTGCCCTATATGTCAGGAGGAACTGTTAGCTAAACATGAGCCTGTCACCTACTGCAAGTATGTACTCCGATAGGATATAATGCCAAGCTGAAAAGTGAAATTAGTTAGTAATACGGTAATGACTTGATCTTTTTATGGGGAAAAATTGTGAGTTTTACAGCTTCTGTATTTTTTTAAGTCATAAATTCTTAAAATGACAACATTCCCATTGAGTGGTAGCAGTAAAAAGGAAAGCAGGCTACCCAGTAGTTCTTTTGTATCCAGCCCAAGCACCACAAATGCTGTAAAGGATACAATACAATTTTAAATGATTCTGAAATTGTGTATAAGAAAGATTATAAATGTTCACATTGAACAGATCAGGGCATAACCTTATTAACTGTGCAATGATAATTATTCATATTTTAATGATTGTCAGCACAAAGAGTCTTTTTTTCTCTCAAATGATGAGGAAGGAAATAGAATATCAGCACATCATTATTTTAATATTTGGCACATAAATTATGTTGTTGTTTTTTTTTTTCATTTCTGTCATTTTTCACTTCATTTTCAAAAAATAAATAAAACCCAAGAGTTTAATATTGAAAAAAGAAAAATGTGCTATTTTTAAGAATATCACCAAATGTTGTAGTAATAATGTAATCAGTTGTCTCATGTATCATGTACTGAAAATTATTTACCTTATGTTCTCATATTCCCAGGTTTGGATGTGCCAATAGTATCCACATCAAATGTATGAAGGTATGGGCAGAGCATCAAAAATCATCTGGAGAAACGGTCATCAAATGCCCATTCTGTCGTGAAGATTTTGGTCCGTTTGATCTCCTGAGACAGGAGTATGCCAATAGCTCAGTGCGGCAGACGAGAGCCGAAAGGCTTGACCTTCACCTTGGGTCAGTGTGTGGCGGCTGCAGGGTGTGTCCTATACAGGGAAAGTGTTACAAGTCAGTATTTGTTTGTCATATTTTTTTTTGTTTGTTTGTTTGTTTTTAGAATGTTAACTGTGTAAATTTATAGATCAATTGTTGAAAAATAAGAGTGGCTAATTGCAACTTTTTTTTTTTTCGTATTGATAAATAATATTTAGAGGAGGTATTGATAAAAACAGCTTTTTAAATATTTTAAATATTTTGAAAAATATAATTTACAACAAAATAATACCTATGCTCATATTCTTATTAGCTGTACAGTCTGTGTGACCTATTACCTGTGTCAGGAGTGTTTTAACACACAGATCCACACTGAACATTCCTTCCAGTTTAGACAGGTAGGTGGCTCCCCTTTGTACTACTGTTTTTAACTCACTTAAAATTTTTTTATTGGATCAAAGCTCTTTTAATATATTATTATTATTATTATTATAAACCTCATTTTCTACTCCTTTGTGGAATGCCTTGAATGCATGAAACAAGGTATCAAGTAGTTATTGTGAGAAATAACACTGTAGGAAAGTCAAAATGGAAGAGGGAAAAGACTTGACAACTAAATAATTTTAAATACAAAATACAAAATATGTTATGTTATTTTTATGATCAGAAACCCACACAAAGATGGCGTCCTGCACAGAGAGGGTCTGGGACGGCACTACCTAGCGCTGTGGTGAACAATTTGATGAACAGGGAGATCAGGGAGGAAGATTATGATATGTTACTACAGCTAGACAGGTACTGGCACATCTAACACAATGTACACAATGGCTGGTTTAACCAATGTTTGAAACCTGCTCCAATATAGCTATAACTAACAAACACGTAGATATCTACTACACAGTACATGAGACAGTCTTATATTTTATTTAGCCTATTACATGCAAGTCTAAAACATTGCCATTTTGTCCACTTAGTGCGTTATGATAGTAATACTGCAAAACTGCGCCAACATACCTTTAATTCATGCTAGAACACGATCCTTTTCTCAGAGCCAGGCCAGTGAGTTTTTTCTGCCATGAATATCTCAGCAGTTGTAGAAATGATATTTCAACATGTTAAAACTACAATCACTTATCAATTTGTCTATTTTTCTGTTTCTAGTACTGCAGCCAACCAAGTAAGCAACATCCCAGAGGAGGTGGTGAAAGGTTTCCCCACAGAACGTGTCAGGGACGGCAGTAAGCTGCTGGCACCTGGGGAGCAGTGCAGGGTTTGTCTGAGAGCTTTCCAGGCTGGACAGCAGATCAGGAGATTACCTGTCTGTAAACATAAGGTGTGTATTCCTCTAAATGTATGTGTGAAACTGAGGTTTTATGAAGATTACCCTGAGTTTGTCAGTGTGTAAGCTGTTATATAATCATAAGAGGACAATGCACTGTAGATGCTGTATATTTTAGTTTCATACACATGTAGACTGTATAGACAATACACTGTATATATTGTTTATTCCAGTTTCACATAGACTGTATAGACATGCACTATAAATATTGTATATTTCAGTTTCACATAGATTGTATAGACAACACCTTATACTAGTAGATGTTGTTTATTCCAGTTTCACATAGACTGCATAGACAACTGGCTGATCCACCAGCGCCCTACATGTCCCATAGATGGTCAGGTGGTGTGGAGCCCTCTCATGGCAGAGATGGAAGAGCAGGAGAAAGAAAGGTGAGTGCTTCCTGAGAGAGAGAGAGAGGGGGGTGGGGAGGGAGGGAGAGAGAGAATTTGAGCTAATGCACACAGCTGTGACAGTATGATTATGTAATGTCACATTTATGCCATTATGTTTATATGGTGAATTCGTGGAAAAGTGAAAAAAAAGACAGAAATGCACATAATAACATTTAAACAAAAACTTCTGTTTATAATAAGTAGTAGGATATTAGCAGGAATAAAATGTATAAGAATAACATACACAAGAGTAACAATAGATGCGTTTGTACTTTCTGTTCCAGAAAACGTCAGAGGAAGAAAGAGGAGGCTAATGCTAGAGCTGAGCAACAGGAGCAGCAAGCCAATGGTCTTGTCTTGGAAATCCCAGGAGTAGGCTTAATTAGGTAGGCCAACTGTAACATACAGCTTCTACTGACCTAAACTGGTTTGATCTTAATAACATCTTGTTCTCTATTCAGGGATGAGTTTTTTTTTTTTTTTTTTTTTTGGACTATTGGTGGATTTCCTGTTCTTTGGGAGCCAAAAATATCATTGGCCTAGGCAGCCCCCTGTTCCCCAGACCATATTTCCTAAGTTTTTTTTTTTTTACTAAATGGCAGTCTCATTCCTGTATATTGTAATTAGGGTGGTGTCTCCCTAGCAGTACCACTGTTTTCCCTTGATTGAAACAGGTAGCTGTGGTTGAACAAAAAAAAAAAACTGAGCAATGTCTATAGAGTCATGCTGTGCAGCAGCCAGCTGGATTGCACATTGGCACTGCTGATATAATTCAAGCCTACATAATGGGATTTTGACTGCTGGAAACCAGTGAACAGAGCCAAGGCGTCCTGTGGTTAAACTAATCAAACTGATTGGCAGTCAGCCTAAGGAACTTGTCTAGGTGGTAAATTCCTGGAAATAGCTGTCTGTAGGCCTGTTATTCCTGGGAGATTGACTCAAATTTGGCTGTTTGGAATGGAGCGAGGGCTTTTTTTTTCACATATTGGACAAGTAAATCATTTGTAAAGATACATGTATTGAGCTATTTTAGTATTTTTTGTGGAGCAACAGCCCTGGCTGTGAACAGTCCTGTTTCTGCACAGCATTATTCCAGCTTGTGGTTTTATTAAACAGCCGTGAGTCCGTGTTCAAGACTATTGCTTCTGTGCCATTAGCTTGATTACCTTAAGAACTGTGTGACCACTACCTGGCTATGGATTATTTTAACATTATTTATAAGGACTATCTGATCTTGGGAATTTCCCAAGGAATGTTGTTTAGATGGTAGACAAGACAAACTTTTGTTTGCTTCAGGCAAAGTGATGCATGTTTTGAAGTTGCTTTTTTTAGCCTTATTGTTTTTCATATCTTGTGTTCTTAGTCAAAAGATGTACAAAATAGGAAATGTATGCTACCAGTACAATATTTTTACTCAAGTAAGCACTAAATTTTTGTTTGTATATTATCTTTTCATTTTTAATATAGTGAAAATGATAATGGATAAGTTGACGGCAAATTTATATTATTTTTATGTCTGTTATTGTAAGTATTCAGTCAAGTAATAACAGTTGTTTATTTATTTCTAGGCGTGGCAGCACTGGCTCACTGGGATCACTCAGTACAAATAAAAATTTAAAGCCCAAAACGGCAGCCTACAACTCCATACCTCTGAACTTTGCTCTCACAGGAACTGGACTGAATTCTCCACAAAGGTGGGCTTTTTATTTTTTTATAATACTACTTCTAATAATTAAAACTTGATTCTTCTTCTTATTATTACCATTATTGTTTTGAAGATCATAATGCTATCACTGCACATAATGTTTTAGTATGTTATTTTAACATACTTGAAATTTTATTTTTTGTAAAAGACATTTAAACATTGATTTTCAATTTCAAAGGTAGATTTTAAACTCATTGAGACCAAATTGTATGCAAATCTATTTGCAGTAAATCAGATATTTTTATATTCTCAGAGTTTGTAGACTGTCAGTAGCGTCATTCATGATTTACGCACTGGCTGGCTAATTGTAAATGACTTTGAATGTTAATATTTTCTCTTTTCAGTGAACCTTCTAGTCCCAGTAACGTCTCCAGTCCAACACAGCTCCTTAGTCGAGTCCGCATCAATCGTCGTCTTGTGCCAAGCGATGTTCGCACCCAACAAGTCACGCCCAGTGTTCCTTCCATCCCTCTTCCGCGAAACCTCAATAACAATGACGTGGGTGCAGCCGCAGCAATAAGTACGAACTCACCTGTAAATAGAGGCTGGAGACCTTCAAGCATCACAAGCTCTCCTGGAGCTGGAGGGAGGAAACCACCAAGCGGCAGAAATAGCAGTGGGGGTGTGCGAAACGAAAGTGGATTTGACAGCGGTATGTAGGTAATTGCTGGCTATGTTTATAGATGTTGTGCTTCATCAATTTTTTTTTATTTGTCTCAATTTGCGTAATCATAAAGGCTACTGTTTCCTTGATTGTCAGACCCAAAAAGTTGCAAGCTTAATCTATAAAGAAGATTGCTAACAAGAAGGTTTATTTAAACATGAAAGACTAATAAGCAGTTTCTGACATCTGTTTCGCCTGGAGTCACACTTTTGACAATCCATGAAAATGTGACATCAAATAATAAATTAATCAGATCTTTTATTCAACAATGTACATGTAGTTATTGAAAAATGATATGATTGTGAAACCTGTCACACCTAACACAATAAAATGGTGCTATAAAGATATCCTGGTTTACAAACAAGTGCTTTCACAGAAGTTAGTGCACCACACATTCATACTTATTATTCTCTTTTCTACTCAATATTGCACTTCCCATTACAGACCCAGAGTCACAGAGAAGAAGCCGAATGAGGCAGAAAGCTGCCGCAGCTGCAGAAAAACGTGCTCGGAGCTCTAGCACCAGTGGCCAATCAAACAGGCCAGATTCTGGCGATGCAGGTCAAGGTCACACTGCTGATGACACCCTGGGACTTTATCTTGGACGAGTGCCGTCCCCACACCAGGACTCGAGTCCATTGTCCAAACCACGAGCCCCAGCAGGTCGCCTCTTGCCTCTGTCACATGACAGAGCTATTACTCATTCCACCAGCAGAGGGCAGCAGGGTGCTTCAGAAGCCAGGACAGGACAGGACCTTACTGATTTGTATTTAGGCTTGGACCCCCCTATAGTTGATAGTGGTTCAATTGCTAATAACATTATGTCCGGTTTAACGGTTCCCAAGCAACGTTCAAATACCAAAGACAAACCAAGGACGGTACAAACACACGAACCTGATTTAGCAGGACTGTACCTAGGTCTTGGTCCCCAGACGGCAGCAGCTACTGACTCTGAAACTACCACTAGGGGGCGGTTAAAGAGAGGTGGTGCCAATACAGGCCCAAACCCAACTAATACAAGACAGCCATGCATTGATACTATTGAACTCACTGGTAATGGCCTAAGTGGGCTGGCTATTCATGATGACACATGATAGACCAGAGGTTTATAAACATTTGTTGCAGAAAATTGCTATATGCTCAATCCAGTTTGCCCCAGGTGGGCTTATGTTCTGTATGTGACCTTCAGTAATTTATAGTCCTGAGCCATTCCATGATAAATAAGATACAGGGTCAATAGAACCACTAGTGTGAGTGTGCGTGTTTGCATGCATGGTTGCATGAGTGGGTGTTTTTGCACTTGTGTGTGTGCACATACCATACCACGTATGAGCTTGGTATCTGAATGTCTGTCTGTCTGTCTGTCTGAATGTCTGTCGAATAGGATACAGTTAGTAGGGCCATAAATATGTGTGCGTGGCTGCATGCCTGTGCATGTGTAACTCTCTGTCTACACGTGTATATGCATATCCATGTTTGTGTGCTGGTACATTTTATGTGAAATGCAGTGTTCATTTTTAAAATACCTGCTAACATGATGTCAGATTGCAGTGTATATGTCAGGAGTATGCACAAACAACACTTGTTCAGATGAGTGCATTTATTCATTTATATACATTTACATAATGTTAAATGCAGACACATGCTTTTCAACAGTGTACAGTGCACGTGTGTGTGTGTATGTGAGAGGGAGAGAGAGAGAGAGAGAATACAGCCGGGCTACATTTCTGGTACTCTCACCAGTAGTATAGACTGTTCAGGCCACAGCTGTATACAGCACACAACTAGTGTTAAGTGAAGTGCAATGAATTGATCCAATGATCTCATAAGTTACCAGTTAACTACCCATCCGACAAGGAGATGGGTTACTTTTCATTCCTTTGTCAATAAAAATGTGACAATAAACTAATGTCTTTCTCCATTCCGTTATTTATAATGAATCTAGCGCCATGAGGCTGGCATCACCTCGTTTAAGGCGTCTGAGCCGCGTTCAACCACTGTAAGCGTTTATTCATTCTTCGACCTTTAAAAAAGCGATTACCATGAATGGACCCCCGCAATTGTCTGTAGATCGTGAAAATGCCAGCTTTCGTGTATTTGCTTAAAGAGATCAAAGAATATATCATCATTAAACGGAGTAATCTGTAATCCTAGTCTTTTGGCAAAAATATGGTCTTGCATTCATTGACTTTAGAAAGATGGTGCCATTTATAGGTGTGTCATGATCACTTACGAGAGCAATAGATCATTTCTGAAACGAACAAAGAAAACATACCACAGAGAAACACTGTTTGGAACCCCAGAAATTGGCTTGGGAATTCTAATCGCACATGTACCTAGAATTTATTCATCAGAAGAAGGGAAAATGTGCTTATCGATTAAAAAAAGAATGAAAAGAGGAATCCAAATATAAAAAAAGTGTTCCAATAATCCAATTGTCTTCTAAGGAGTGGAAAAATGAAAAATGTTCTTTTGTGGAACCGATTTTGTGCGTGTAATGAAAAGCGGAAATGTCAAATTGGGACACATAAATGTGGACTGATAAAGCACGAGTGTGTGGGTTGGGGAAAGGGCTGTATGTATGTATGTATGGACGTATGTTTGTTTGTATGTAAGTGTGTATGTATGTATATAAGTACATGAACACGTATGTCATTGCGTATCTTTCCGGTTTGATTATTTTAGCCCAGAAGATACATGTAAATAATCCCTGGGAAATGAAGACCGTTCTCTTCAGTCATTTGCTCTGTTTTCAACTCACTGTTCATCCGAGCGTCAAACTCCACCATCATGTTTCTACACGTAGGCGTATACTGTAGTATAGATTTTGAGGCGATCATCAGCTGTATGATTTGACATATCACATGTTACATCATCCAAGGAAATGTATTCATTCATTTAATTATAATTTATTGCGCCATAATCCAAGTACTGCCTCTATCTCGATGTGTGCCGTTGCTGTGGATCGGTTCTCAAACTGGATCCAAATGCTTTTTATGGTGTACCCATGCACCAACCAAATGGATCCCAGACATCTCAACCACTGGATTGACAAAACCCATTCTAATGGTTGATTTCATCTGATTGCTTGGAAGACATGTGCAGGTCAAAGCGTTGAATGCGATCAACTCAGTACCTGTGCAATTTTTATCTGCATTGTGTAAAATATTCAACTGGGCCATATTCATCTTAAAGAAAACCTGCGGCAGATTTCACAATAGAAAATTCATCGGAAATAATATTGGTCTTTACTTTTTGGTAAAAAAATTTCGCTCTCCTCCAGTTCAAGTTGAATCCATATCGGTGTGCTTATGAAATGTAACCATTGGCCTGAAATATTAGAGAAGTCTTTCCTGTTATTAAACAGGCGCCATATTTCATTTAATTAGACTACGTACATGTACTACTGATTTATCTTCGGTCAAAGTAGATTCAATTTTTGTTCCAAACGCTTCGACCAATTTTGGGATGTATGGTTCTTTGGTGAAGCGGGCTCCTGGTAGCGTATCATGGTTCCCCAGCGAGCTGACCTCTCTCTTCGCCCGGGCGCACGACACACGGTTTTATTCACCGTTTAATGTTAGGAAACGCTCTCTGACGGGACACTTAATCGAAGAGAGAATTGATCAGTCGTTCGTTAATTGTGGCACAGTCTTAATAACCGACGCCCGCGTTTCTTTCCATGCAGCAGTTCACAATTGGATTTGACTGGTAAGATGCACGGCGGAATCGATAGGGTACTTTCATACCTCATTACCCCAGTGTCTGGGGGAAACGATTGCCAATGAAGCCAATTACGACTCTGGAACCGTTTTCCAATGGAAACCAGACATTGCTTGCCCTCGGCTTCTTCGTTTTTTCCCGTAATGATAGATTACTTCTAATGTCACGCTTGTCTAACTTATTGCGGTAAGGACACAGGTTTATGATTATTCTGAAGTATTATGTTTTCTGGAGCAATCAAGCGCGCACGGATGCACAAACACGCACGCATTCTACATGAACACAGACCTGATATCCGTAAAATTTGCCATAGAACCATGCGCAACTGAAATACAATCTAAAATTTATAAACCGTCCGAAATTCCAAGACCTAACTTTGATATATATAAACCTTCTTTATATAGAATGTCAGTAGCTACACTCTGCATTGCGTATGCTAATACACATGCACACACACACACACACATACACACACGCACTTTGCATAGAACTGACAATTAAGTTGAGTTTCAACAAAATGCAGACAGCATTTGAATTATCTTAATTTCACAAAACAAAGAGCTTATAGTCTCTTGGGTTCCAACCTTCAACACAGTTGAATTTCTACGTATTTTGTCAGTTTCTTGCTATCCCCGCCAGAGTTTTCACCTTCATCTTTTTGGATCGATTTCTGCCCGGTTTCAATGCTGTGAGGCTCGATGGTTCACTGTGAGGCACACGGCCCCAGCGGTTTCACTGGGTAAAAAAAGTGAGAAAATACAAAATGACTTTTTATGGAATCAGTTGCATTTGCAAGACATTGCTCCTGGTTTCCCTGCGTTGTACCTTCTTCTGTTCGTATTGGTTGTATTTCTCGTGTCATAATATATCAATAGTACAAGTTATATGTATCAAAAGAGCTATGTTCGACCAAAAACCAATTCATTCTGCGTTCAGGCTCAGAAGATCAACTGTTTAAGCTTAATTCACCGTACATTGTAATAGACTAATCTGCCAAAATGTTCCTTTGGGTACAATAATTGGCTTAGAACTTGTTTCTCACCCTTTATTCTATTTTCATAGGAACTGTATTTCAATGTCTTAATTATGGAAAGAAACTCTCATCCTTGCAGTTTTCGTGTCAACTTCACACAGGTTTTCTCTCAGCGATGTATATACTAAACGACAAAAGGAATTCCGTTGTTTTTTTGTTTTTTTTTTCAAACAATCAAAATGATGAGCCGTGTCTGAGTCTAACCCAAATTTTATCGACGACTAATTTTTTAAACATTTTAAAATGTATTATTTTTAAGAACAGTCATATTGGCTACAGTAGTATTTATTTGACACGCACGGCCATCAAATTCAGCATTTTAAGCAGGTCTGTAGCCAAAGTATACAATTGGGGTTCTTTTTTTTTTTTTTTTTGCCTAGAAGCGGACCCGTTTACCCCATTAGCTGACCAAAATAAAAATTGCCATGGAACCTATTTAATTCAAAGCGGACCTTCTTTATCAAAAGAGCGGTTCTTTCGAAGCCCTGACCACCCAACCCACCCCCTGTCTACAGGCCTATTAAAATCAAAAGGACGCAAACCGCCCCAGATGACAATTTTGATAATTTGGATAACACTGCTACTTGGTGATCTACAAAGGCTTGTTTATGTGTTGGAGCATACTGAATTACTGGTCAATCGATTCGCTTGTCAAGGAGACCTGTCTAAATCTGAAAGTAGTGACTTTGAAAAAAATGTGCCCATGCGAGAGGCGCGGAACGTATACTTTCTACCATGTCGACTAATCAATATGATATGTATTACTACCATCTCTCCTTTGTATCAATATATATACCCGTTTTTACAACAAAGTCAAAAATACTTCCTTGTGGTACAATTCGTATACATATTCCAATGACTGGATGTAAAGCAGACTAAGAAGCTGCTACGTGCATTAGCTAGGCTCTAGTATTATCATGTCCTTTAATTCCCAACGCGCCGTTTTTAAAAGGAAACGGCACCTATTAACCGATGAAAGGAGGTCCATTTCAAACACGCAAAATCGTCACTATGCTGTTTTGACGAATTACGTTGCCTGCCTCCAGGGAATGAGGTCTAAAAACCATACCCAAGGAACACATTTCAAGAGAATCGACGATGGTAATCTTTTCAATGAATAAAAATTGGTAAATAAATGAATAAATAACTTGATGAAAGAGAATCTTCTCTTATCAACCAAACTTTCCGAAGTGTCTTCATATTTTATCAGATTAGAAGAAATGTGCCAGTTTCATACATATGGTTTCTTCGTATTCATTTATTTATTCATTGTTATATTTATTCATCTATTTATTTCGCATTTCATTCTTTTTGGAGCCAAGTTAAAAAAAGACATCACTACTTTGAGGAAACAAAAAGGGCAGATGCTTGGAAGAAACAAGAGATGGAATCGCCATCAGGACATTCTTAATTATCAATAGACGTAAGTTAATGATCAGTTTAATGAGGGTCCTGTAAGCATTTTCTTCTTTATGCTTTTTCGATTCTCTGAGGAGTAAGTTTCAAAGAAAACGACACCGGGAACGTGCACGGAAAACAGTTGATAAGGTAACAATGAAAAAATACCAGCTTCTTGGTCCCCGGTGACTAGTTTCGTTAACCAAAACATATCTAAATGTAACTATTTCTCCTGGGATTGGTCAAATGGGTGATTCTTTTAAAGAAGAAGAAAAAAATCTTATTTATAATCTTCGTGGTTTTCACTCCCTCGGGAAATATGTGATAGCTGTCCACCATTGGCTAGTTGCCATTGCGCGACCAATGTGAGTCACACGTGGCTCCCTCGAGTCCTAACAACTGATACCTCGCTATCCGCTCTGTTATAAACATGTCGTTTATGGTTTCCAATTCACGATACTCCCAAGAGACAACACTTCGTCGTTTGATCGAAATGAATGACAGCTTTAAGCATTTTTAGGTCAATTCATCAGTATTGTCATTTTTGCATTTCGAGGCAATCCTTCTTGCCAACAAAATGTGGTTCATTAACGCTTTTCTCTGTGATCTCTCTCTATATTGCTGTTTCTAGCCCGAGGAGACCCGTAGCGATTGCATGAAATGTTTTTCAAAGGGAGTCGCTACAAAATAATGAGATGACTGACTTAAATAATAATTTAGCAAGGGTAAGAACTTGGATGAAGAATTTTACGTTTAAGAAAGGATTTCATCATTTAAGCAATGCACAGACTACGTTTTTGTTATTTTTTGTACGAGCAGAAAGAACAGATCTCTTCTTGTTTTGAAAATTATTGTCTCTGATAAAAATGAGCCATACGTTAGACGGACAGGTTAATATGTATCTTAAGGACGCACGGCTATGAAATATATATCAAAATAAGGATAATTTTCTTGTTGAATACCAAAATATATATTACCACCACAACTTGTGCGTCTTAAGCATGCTACCTCATTTTGAACTTTAAGAGAAGTCCATTATATTGAAGATTGAGATCACTTGCAAAGACCAAACAGTAGCAAGGATGGCATAGAATTACACCCAAAGGGGCCAAAGTTAAATGAAAAAGATATGCTTAACGCGTCTGTATAAAATTTTTACTGGTAAATAGGACAACTTTAGTCAACATAAAGAGAAACGTTTCGATTTGGTCTCTCTCTCTCTCTCTCTCTCTCTCTCTCTCTCTCTGATTTTCACGTTCGATCATTATCGATCCATTCCATGTCAGTATCACATTCAAACCGAACACGAATCCTAATATTAATTCCTATTCATCATACTGAGGGAGCATGCACCCGCTGTCAAGTCATGTAAACTTTATCTGGCGTAAAAGCACTAAAAAAAAACGTCGATTTTTGACCGCAGGATTTCCAAACGCAACAAAAAACAGGCGAAGACAGAAAACAGTTGCATTGAATATTGGAATTAACGCTCGATTCGTCATATCAAATTCCTGGTAATCGCTTCCCGGGAATCTGCCGAGCATCTGAGAATTCAAAACCCAGTAACAAGAACTAAGCGCCAACGGGCTTCGTTAATCAACAAGGGAAGCGCCAAAACAATATTGGCAAGGGTACAAAACGCCTTGGAGCGGTCAATCTTAAATAGAAACATTTTCCAAAGGCAGCGCAACAGCACAAAGGGATCCGCTAGACCGCGCGAGGAGGAAGACCAACGATTCTCAGATCTCAGATAATTGAGTTGGAAGAAGACTTAGAATTACAAATTCTCTCGGTCAGTGGAGATATAACAGCAACTTTGGCGTTTCGACGACAAGACGTGAACTACAGATGCTTCAAGCGCTCGTTTGAATTAAGAATAAAGCGCTGAGGTCGATCATTGAGTTGGATGTAAACCTACAACCGGACACGAACAAGACCTGTATTGGAATTCTTTGTTGAATGACCATCGTTAAACAATATGGAGATTGGAAACGAAAAAGAAAAAATGAATTTGTCAAACGGCGAAGTAAACCAGCCGCTCACAAAACAGGAAGAAGATGACACAGCAATACATAATTTGCACGACGGAGAAAAGCAAACGCTCAATGAAAACGTTCAAGTCAAAAAAAATCTCACCGAATATGAAGAGGCTAAGCAGAGAAATCCAGAGGACGGGGAATCACAGGTTTCACCTTCAGATCGAGAGGAGGTAAAATACGCTCTATCAGAGGATGAAGATCCTGAGCACAGTCCCCGGATGTTGTGGACAAATAAAAAGCTGGTGATAGCACTAGTGATAGCTCTCATTATCACAGTGATAGTGGCAGCTGTGGTCGCCTTTATACTGCAGAATTATGGTGAGTGTGTTAGATGTGACAACGTTACAGAATGTGCTGGTTGTCATTATGTACTGTAGTACATGAAACTGAGTCAAATTGAACTGTGTTTTGAGACTGTTATTCTTCTTCTAATTATTATTATGCATTTTGCTAGAATATATTCAGCGTTTATATTCGGCGGGGTGTTTTAAGTTTAATGGCTTGTTTATTAATGATTGTGATGTAAAGGGATACTTAAAAACAGTAAAACAACATAGTTGTTGAATTATATCGGCATGTTTACTCGTATGTTAGTAAAACAAGATATGCTCATGATATTTCTCACAATCAGTATTTTGTCACTATTAACGTCTATGCACTGTGCTTTTCAGACCCACACAAACCAGAGTTTTAAAGCAATAATTTTCACCCAAAGGGTTAAACTTGTCTGATGTTGATCACGAGAAGGATCAATTTTAAGGATGCTCAGCCATGGGAATTGACTATGGCAACATCGTTTGTTGGTGACATAGGCGAATCATACCAGAGAGAGAGAGAGGGGGGGCAGTGGTGACGTCATCAAAGGGATTGGGGGAAACTGTGACGTCATCAAAGAGATTAGGGACGCTCCGACGTTATATCGACATCTCACTATTGTTTATCTTGTATAAAGTATAATGTACGTGTACCTGAACTGAAGCGGTTGAAATAGTATGAAGCAAACCTTAAAGAAACAGTCAGCAGCAGATGGAAAGAAGGGACCTTTCAGAGAAGTTTGTTTTGTGATTACCTTCCATATTTTATTGTATAATTCGTGTTTTTAATAAACTTTTTGAATTGGAATATTAACATTTCAACTAGAGATACAGGGCAAGTGGGCTGCATTGCTTACATAATCATTTTAAAGCAAACGCCGCAAACACATAAAATTATGAATAGCCAAAATTTTATCTTACTCGATTTCTAGAATAGTTTATAGAATATGTATCGTCATTACTGTTCTTGTTCTCTTTTCAAATGTTCGTAACCAGTAAATTGTCTGTATAGCATTAAAGTATCTATGAAGATCTACTATAAAGCTGTTATATGTAATCTTTGTAGTAGATCTTCATAGATGCACCAGTATTATAACTTATTTACGTTTTAAGATCCATACGGTGATTTGATATGAATCTTATAGTATTGAAGCAATCGAATCAAACTCCTTCATTACCGATCGAAAATCATATTTTATCGTAGAAGAGAATAAATAAAACTCTCTTCAAACAGGATAGGAAGGCTATGATTGCTCTGGTAAGGTAACGGAGATTACTCATGGACAACATATGCTTATTTAATGACATAATTTTAATGCGAAAGAATAGTGGTGTATAAGGGAAAGATATTGTAAAAAAAAAATAATAGGAAATTAAAGAAAATGATACACAATTGAAATTAAAGATACTATTTCAACTACTATTGTTATGAAAAGATTTCACATGTCACATGTACAATGTAGGCAATGCAGAGCGTGCTAAGACAAAAATGCACGAACGGAACATACGTCTACACATTTAAACCAATTTCACTCAGGAATCGTGAGAGTTTAAAAGAATCTAAATTAATGTTTTGAACCATTTAATCCCAATTCATTCGATGGAGATCTGATGACTCCCGTGACCATTAAATCTTTCCCCCTAAATGAATTCTACATTTCTTATGCTATTTAAAACCATTCTAAATCCTCTTTGTCCATAAATGGGAGACCCTGTGCGTGTCTAGTGTACAGCTTATGGTAATGAAGAACACAGAGAGAAATTTACTGAACGAAAAAAGTCGCTTGACTCCAACTTCTACTGCCTTATAAGGTGACAGCAACGTGGTAGCCGCGTGATCCCAAATTAATCTGCTTAAGTTATCAAGCTAAATCCAGGCATAATACTACTTTATAGGAGACATGTTGTTCTCATACTTATAGTAACTTATAGTAACTGGCTCGCGCTGCCAGTAATTACGCCGCGGGACTTTCAGGGCACAGACCGTGATCACAAGATATACCGCGAATAGAAAATAGATTTTTAGAAAATAGACTTGCCATGTGAACGAAGCCTAAATGGTTCACTAAAACACAAAAGGAATCGAAAAGGTAGGATTTTTTGAATGTGCAATGTTTTGTGAATACCGACAACATTAACATTGCAACTACAGTGTGAATGTAATGTGTTGAATTAACAAAAAGAAAGTGTAATAAGATAATTGCGTACATTTAGAATTTATATAAAATAGCAATAACTACAAACATATTTAACTATTGTAGAACACAAAGTTTGTATTTTTTAAAGAAAAGTGTGGCATTGGAAGGTTGCGAAAATAATAACATATATATGCCTCATTGAATCAGTTGTGAAAGTAGGATGTTTTGATAGACAGATTGTATATCAGACTGTTCAGACATCTTCATAATTATGCCATTTTGGCACTAAACACTCGTAGTTTTTTTAGGGAAAGTGTCTTTTAGGAGAAGACGTCTTTTGAACCATTGAAAGAATAATTGAATAATATAAAAAAAAAAACAAAGAATACACATTTGCATTCATTTATTGATGAAATCCAACCAAAAGTTCCCACTGCTCGATCTAAGTACCACCACCAAACTGAACATGTAATTAATTTAATTGTTCAAAGGCAAAATTTAAATCGAACGTTAGTTATACGTTGAAATGGGCACAGGTGGAAAAAATGCAACCACGCGTTTCTCTTTGTAAGTTCCATTATATAACATCAAATGTTTTCGTGTTAAGGACCTTTTTACCTTGTCAGAAGCAAGAAGCAAAGTTCATAATTTCATCATTAAAGAGCGGGAAATGTTGACGTTCTCAGTTGGTCTTGGTATTCAAAGTCAGCCATTCTTAGCAGGCGTTGCAAACTTGTCTGACGCAATACATTCATAACAGGTACCGTATCTTTCCTACACGCTATAACTGCCTCATCGCACTTTTAATTCAGAGACGCCACTTGGCACTGGTTAATAGGTTAGAATTTATAGTGCTTAATATGAACTTATATGGCAAAATGATCGAACCCTGTTTAAGTTCAGTTAGTGGAGTAAGCAGCACAAAACATCAGTAGGCCTACTATTCAACATGTAGCGTAAAATCTTTCTGGCCGTTGTTTCCCCTAGCATTAATTTCGACTACTTAGTTGGAAATTTTTGACTTTTTGTTGATGATTTTCCTCAGACGCTTTTTTCTAGCTTCTGCAGCTCGAAATGCTTCTGCTTTAACTTCAACTTCAGCTTCAGCTACCACCTGCATTTCACGTTTCTTTCTACTGCCGGATTTGGGTGGCGACCTTTCCGATTCGCTACCTTCGTCCTCCTCCGCCTCACGTTTCTTTTTACTGCCGGATTTGGGTGGCGTCCTTTCCGATTCGCTACCTTCGTCCTCCTCCGCCTCACGTTTCTTCCTACTGCCGGATTTGGGTGGCGTCCTTTCCGATTCGCTACCTTCGTCCTCCTCCGCCTCACGTTTCTTCCTACTGCCGGATTTGGGTGGCGTCCTTTCCGATTCGCTACCTTCGTCCTCCTCCGCCTCACGTTTCTTCCTACTGCCGGATTTGGGTGGCGTCCTTTCCGATTCGCTACCTTCGTCCTCCTCCGCCTCACGTTTCTTCCTACTGCCGGATTTGGGTGGCGTCCTTTCCGATTCGCTACCTTCGTCCTCCTCCGCCTCACGTTTCTTCCTACTGCCGGATTTGGGTGGCGTCTTTTCCGATTCACTACCTTCGTCCTCCTCCGCCTCACGTTTCTTTTTACTGCCGGATTTGGGTGGATACCTTTCTGATTCACTACCTTCGCTCTCCTCTGCCTCACGTTTCTTTCTACAGTCAAATTCTTCTTCATCTCTTAACATGGCCTCCCTCACGTCACGTTTCTTCTTGCTGTCGGATTTGATCGGAGGTTCTTCTGCATCGATTGACTCGGCTAACCTATTGATACTTTTAGCAATAACGACTTCCTCTTGCTGACGCATCTCTTCCCGAGGTGCATTCAGGGGTATGGCGAGAGCCGTGCCTATCACGACACACAGCACCAGAAAGACCAAGCCTAGTCTTACCATCTCGCTCTTATGGGTGAAGTGGCAGCTAAAAATACAAATGAACACGTTTAGTTTTGAATTGTCAGCGCCTCTCTAAAAACAAAGAAAACAAAAGTCATTCTTTGCATCTGGAAATGGCAAGGGTCTAGCACCAGAATGTCCACACATTGACGTGTTAATCTAAAAGAAAAACGAAATTTCTGGCTATATCATATGCAAGCCTGCAGTATATAACATTAGGAACGTATGCTCAGTTCGTAGTCGCCTTTCAGACTCTGCTGCAGTCACAGTCATACAGTATTTGGCCACTTCTAAATTGGATTAATTCATCTCTCTTTTATATGGATGTCCAAGAAACACCTAAATAGACTACAAATTATTCAAAACTTTTCCACTAGATTATTTTAACTCGTATATTCTTAGTTTTCATCCATCGTGTTTTTTCATAATTTGGCACCGACTTAAGCCTGGGTCACATTGCGCTTGCAACCTTATGGCAACCTCTTTGCAACGTCAGTCTAAACTGGTCGCATAAGGTTTTAAAGTGGTCGCATAAGGTAAAAAGTACACGATGCGCATGACTTATCACGGTTTAATTACGTTGTATTGTAAGTGGCAAACGCCTAGGGTTAAAAAGACAAAGGGAAAAATACACATTCGGTTGCAAATCAGTTGCAAAGCAGTCGGCGACCTGTTAGCAACCGGTTGGATACCACAAGTAGGTTTTTAGGTCGCCAGGAGGTTATCGGTGCTGCACCGAAAACCGGTGCAACCGGATATTAACCCAGCGTTCATTTGGAAACCACTTTGCGAGTTGTTGCAACCGGTCGCCGACCTTTTTGCAACCGGTGACATTTGCAAGTCGCAAAGAGGTTTTTGTTCAGTGTGACCGTAAATGCACAGGCCTTGCGACCTGAAAGAGACAAAGTATTTGACCAAGAAAATATTAAAGAGTATTATGAGATTAATAAGGATTAAAACGTATGCAAGTTTATGTTTTTATTACAGCACTGGTTTCGTTGGGTGAGGGTGTAGTCTTTTCAAAAGTTCACAAAACATTGTTGGTTCTATTTTTAGGAAGGAAATGAAAAATTCCTAATTTTCAAGTCGAAGTTCTTTCATCAAATGTTTGTAATCGCCTTACAAGGGGGGGCTTGCAATCCAAGGAGTCACCCAGTATTTTCGAGGTTTTTTTACTCGTTTTACTCCTTAGGTAAACAAAGTCAATGTCTATAGCAGTCCCGTCTTTTTGAAAAGGAGTCGTTTTACTAGAAAATTTTTGACTTTTGAGAGGGGAATTTATAGGAAAGCAGCTACTGTCACAAGTTGGCAACATATATATTTTGTGCGACCTTGCTGCTACCAGTTGACAAGCGATTGCTACAGTCCTGCAACCGGTTTTCGGTCACCAAGTGGTTGCAGACAGGTTGTGTATCGCTCGGCAAACAGTGTGCTACTGGTAACCTATAACTTGAAGATGGTCTATAAGAGGTTGCAGATACCATACTGCAACCTTGTAGCAACCGGTTTGCGACTGCTTGCCGATCAAAAATGGCCACAGCTTCTTAATTAGCTTGCAAAGTGATCGCAAGCGACCGCCAGGTTTTGTGGTTGCAAAAAGGTCGCAAAAAGGTCGCAAGCGCAGTGTGACCCGGCCTTACATAAACGATCCAAATATCTACTTAGTTCCTACCAGAACTTTGGGATCAGTAAAGCAACTAGTAATGAATCCTTATAAAGGCGTCTTTAAGTCTTATGGGAACATCAGCTGATCCAATGGAATGGAATATTCTACCAATTGAAATCTACTCAATTGAATCAAGTGATAACTTTAAAAAGGAGTTAAAATATATTTTTAGGAAATTTTATTATTGATTATCTTACATGTAATTGATTTTACGTAATAGTTAGGCTTTTTTTTTATCTAGAATGTCAATTAAGTGTAATAATATTTTATTTCTATATATCTTGGTAATCGTGTTTTTAAGAGATAGCAACTGTTCATTTGGCAAAAAAAAAATAAATAAATAAAAATAAATAAATAAATAAATAAATAAAATGATTTTTCTGAGGTTAACGACAATATTCCTATGGTTTATAAATCCGTTCCGACATTCAAAGTTAGTCCGTTTTTTTTATAAAGTATGAATTTTTGTAATATAAGGTAGCCGTTTTTGGAGGTCACGTGGTAAGCACAGATTCCAGCATAATTTTGATAACTGCCGTGTTGGTGTTTAAATAGATTTTGTTATTTTTTACGAATTGTTTACAATTTTTAATGTTAAATGTGAATCTTATACGAAGACTTATCCCTTTAAGTG